TATCAGTTGGGTCCTTTTAAAGGAAGACATTTAAATGATATTTTTTTTTTGGTCAAATCCTAAAGGATTTTACTTTTCTAAAGGGAGCTACTGTCAATAAAGAAAGAATTAAACTAACCTTTTCTACACTCTGGTCAGAATTTCACCTGTACAAAGGAAATAACTGCTATTAAGGACGGGATTGACCAGTACCTGGCAAAAAATAACTTGCTTAAAAATAACTTGAAATTAAGGAAGTGATTAAACTTTTCACTTTCTATTCACTTAAAGGATTTTTAGCACAAAGGAAGAAGATTCTGGAAAAACGATTTAAACTTTAATTACATGTCGGTGGTTGTTGAAGAGCTGGAATAATTTTTTTTTTATATTCTAATTTATAAATAATATGATTGTGTGTATCTTTATCTTAATATATTGGAAATAATTTCTAAATTTTTGTTCATGTAAACTCAGAATTTTGTGAAACACCTTTACAGGTTAAGCGTGCACGGGAAAAAATTGGACAGCCTTGTGCAATGTGCTCAAACTATGAGGTTCGACTCCAGCAAGCTCAGCAGTCGGAAGTAAGTCAACGGCAACAGGTGACGGGCTTGCAACAAGTAATTGCCAAGTATAAAGAAGACCTTCAGAGGGAACAGAAATTCCGCCATGAGCTTGAGCAGAAGTTCAATAAATATGCTGAAGATTACAAAAAAGAGGCAATTTTGTTTACTTTTTTTCTTTGGGAAAATTAGTTTAGGCTAAAATATTTCCCTGCTGTACGTGAGTTACATCAACACTATTAGGGAGTAGCAGTATTCAGATGTGAAGTAAAATAAACTTTCAGCATCTTTACAAAATGAATAAACACAATGAGGCAATAAAATTTATCAAGTTTTGGAAATAGTTACATCACTATATATACCTTGTCAGTTCATTTCCTTCTTAAATTTCTGTTGTCAAATATACTTCTTACATGTCCCATTTAACCTATTGTGAAAAAAACAAGTGACAATAGCTCCACCTACATTTTTTTTCCAGCAAAATCTGTCTCTAAGTCACAATGACACAACTTTTCTGATTTAACAGATTTTAGAATACAGTATATTCATGCGTTAATGAAGCAAATGGAGAATGGTGGAATATAACAACTGGATTATTATGATCATAGTATAATAGTTATGGGAAGCCTTGGACTGTTACCCTTAATCGTAAGGCAGTCCACCACCATAAAGCTCATTAGTTTCTGTTCAGTTAACAATATACTGGATTTGTGACTTTCTTATTAACAAAAATAATTACAAATCATCCTAATTAACATGTATTTTTTTTGTATTATTCTTTAACTTGTAGTGATTTTTACTGAAAGTTTTCCAGTAACCATTAATTTCTTACTAAGAGCAGTCATAAGAGATTCTAACTTGAAAAACTGATGGTTTTAGTATCACAAAGTGAAATATAAATTTGTGAAATATTTTACTTCAACAGTAACTGATATAGGTTTTTAACTTGTAATTCACAGGTTAGTGAGCTATTTAGCAAGTTTGAAGAGGCAGAAAGGTTGTCTTTGGATCTTAAAGCAAGTTACACGGCGTGCTACAACGATGTATACGATCAGTTGGTGAGTAGTATTATAGCTCAACTACTTGTGAAGATTTACATAGTTGGTGTTGTATTATAGCTCAACTACTGGTGAAGATCTACAGATACTTCGCAAATTTCAAAATTCCTTGGTCTCAACTATGAAGTCTGATATGTGGAAATAAACTTTTTTACAAATTTTTGAGTTAGAAATAAATAAAAGATATAAATCTGAAAATTAAAAACAAATTCAACAACATTCTATGAAAGTCAGTTTAGTACAATCAAACTAAGACCAACAGAACAAAGTCACAGTTTATGTTAATACGTTTGAATATTAGACTGTTTAAGAAACAAAGTAGCATGAAGCACATTTTAACCCTCGTCGTGCATAAAAGTTATCAGGCTGGTTCCCAAAAAGTGTCAATTATCCACTAAAAAAATAAAATTAGGAAGTTGATCTTTTCTAGTCTTTTGTGAAGCCGTGAGGTAAATCCGCTTGTTGCAGTGGAAGGAAAGGTTTTTGTGAAGCCGTGGGATAAATCCACTTGTCTCATCAAATGGCTATAAATGGCAAAGTGAATATATTCGCTTGACGCATTGTAAGGGTTAAAATAGACTAAGACATATATATATAATTTATTTAATTTTGTCTCATCAAATGGCTATAAATGGCAAAGTGAATATATCCGCTTGACGCATCGTAAGGGTTAAAATAGACTAAGACATATATATAATTTATATAATTTTGTCTCATCTGGCATAAATGGCAAAGTGAATATATCGCTTGACGCATCGTAAGGGTTAAAATAGACTAAGACATATATATAATTTATATAATTTTGTCTCATCAAATGGCTATAAATGGCAAAGTGAATATATCCGCTTGACGCATCGTAAGGGTTAAAATAGACTAAGCCATATATATAATTTTAAGTTTACCTTCAATATTAATCAAGGCAAGTTTTTATTTTTGGTTATTTAAGATTTTGTATTTTTATTAATATCTATCACTAGCTTCTGATTAAAGCATAGATCAGAACAAAAAATTAACCTAGTAAATAATGTAGCTGCTTTAATATACTGGTCTATCTAGGAGCGTGTGATGTCATAAAACAAAAACTAATAACAAACAGAATGTATTGATTCACATTAGTGGAGTATGAGCACTGTTGGTGATACTTTACGCCACAAACCTAGTAATATATTTCAAGGTTTGGCCAGATTAGGATTAACGGTAGCCCTAAATCTATATAATAAACTAACAGTTAAAATAATCATAAAAATGTTTTTACTATTATCTCGAGCCCGGCATGGCCAGGTGGATAAGGTGGTAGCGGGGTCGAATCCCTGTCCCACCAAACGTGCTCACCCTTTCAGCCGTGGGGGCGTTATAATGTGACGGTCAATCCCACTATTCGTTGGTAAAAGAGTAGCCCAAGAATTGGCTGTGGGTGGTGATGACTAGCTGCCTTCCCTCTAGTCTTACACTGCTAAATTAGGGACGGCTAGCGCAGATAACCCTCGTGTAGCTTTGCACGAAAATTCAAAACAAACTATTATCTCGACTTTTACTCTTTCCAAACTAAAGAAACTCTGTGATGTAGGATTTTGTCCTACACAAACTAACCTTATTTGTGTATGTATACATCGTAAAGTCTTACTTATTGTATGTTGTAAAGTGTGGAAAAAAAAAGACGCTTTAGCCGAAATGATTCAAATGAGACAATATTTGGTCAACTAAGAGCTTCAAAAACACCACTTTAATAGAAACTGTGCTGCTCCTTTAAAAAACTGATTTTAGGACTTGCTGTGAACGTCAATAAAACTTTGCATCACGATCATCTTGTGATGCCATCTCTTTTATCAGCTCTCCTATTAATTTTTTGTCTAGTTAATTTTCTTTGTAAGGACCTAATGGTATTTTGATTAATTATTTTCCTCTTTCAGCAAAGACGTTTTGATTTACGTAGAAAGTATGAAGCTCTGGTGAGAAAAGAAAGATGGTTACTTTTAACGATCTGAACTGAAATCATCTAAAAAGTCTGATAATTTTACAAATACATTTTCCAAAATCATACCAGAATTAAGGAGTTTGAGCACGATTTTCATCATCTAATTCATCACATTTGTGTTTATTTTAATTATTTCATGTTTTATTAGTAAGAATACAGCTTGTAAAAACTATGGGTGTTAATATTGGCTTATACACTTTTTAAGTTTATGTTGATATCTATTTAAAATCTTGTATTATTTCAGAAAAGGCTAAAAAGTGAAAAAGAAAAGATGAAGGCCTCTGTAAGTACTCCTTGCACTAAGATGTTATTTCTGTATTCTGTCTGTTTATGATAGTTAAATATGCTGAAAAGATACTTAGTGTCTTATTTATAGTAATGTGCATATGTTTGTATGTCTAGTTTAACATCTATACCAAGACTTAGAAATATTTTGAAACAAAAAGTATTTATATTTGTTCAGTAATTGTTGGGGCAGAAAAGAAAACCTTTTACATAGAGAAGAGTCTCCTCAGAATTGTAATGCACTTACAAACGGAAATTAATTGAGACACAAAATATATAGGTATATGAGTGTGTATGTGTGTTCATTGTTGAGCTCTCAAATGCTGACAGAACGTTAAATTAGAAGAAACCAGATTGCAGATTATTTTCTAATCTTCTCTCCAAACATTTTCTTGCCAACTGCACGAGAGAGAAAGAGTGTGAAGAATTTGGTCATTTAGTTGTTAGTAGTGAAAACAAACAAATGAAATTTAATAAAACCACAAGAACTTACACGATTTATAATTTATCTGTGGTACAGCAATTAGGTATAAAAAAACAACAACACAAAAAGTAAATAAAAATGTCTACTTTTGTACCACAGATAAATTAGAAATCATGCAAGTTCTTGTGATTTTATTAAATTTCATGTATTTGTTTTCAGAAAGAAAACAAATGATGAGAGTAGAAGTTACTTAATTAAGAGTTAATGTTTCGAAATTAAAATAATAACTTCATTAACTCATTTATTTTGAGACCTTAAAGTATCACTTGAAAACATGCTGTGTGGGAAGTTATTTTATTAAATTTATGGGCTCAGGTGGGACGAGAAATACAAAGTTGAGCCTTGGTTAGTAGGGAAAAGAAAGTTAGTTTTGAATCAGTGGTTTACTGCATGTCAGGGGGGTTTTCAATGTAGAGAACAAGATGGAATACCTCAAACGTTGGTCTACTTTTATCATCTATCTTCACAACTTGTGTGTGCCATTTTTAGTCTGTAAATTCTTACGTCAGTAATTAGGCTTTCTTTTTTTTAAATTGTTTTGTCATGTAATATTTAATCTGATATAAGAATAAATCTTTTTGGATAAGCATCTGCAGGATATTGTTATTCTTATTTATTTGATTAAAAAGCAAAAATGTTAATTTTTTTTTCATAATTTCATTGGTTAATTAAATTTGTTTATTTTATTATAACCCTAATGTACAGCTTTTTAAAGTTATGTGTTAGAAATGTTCGTAAAAAATTATCTTTATTATCTACAAATAAAATTGTTTTGATCTCCTTAGTGATTTTTTTTTCATATGTTTCTAGCTTACAAGGTTGCAGACTGAAAACAGCTCCTTAATGGCAAAGCATATTGCTCGTGCTCAGCAGATACAGAGTGAAGTTATAAACCTTCCTAACACGGCTGAGGTTAGTAGTTCAAACATTAGCGAGAGCTAAAGAAAGGGTAGTATTTGTTTGCATGTTCCTTTAGACACGGATAGGTTGGAAATATACTTGGCTGGAAATAATTATTATAGCAGTTGATCAAGGTGGTTCAGTTACAACAAACCAATCATAAAATGGGGTTGATTGAACAGTATCAGATGATTGGTCAGACTTGAGGCCAGGCAACCAATCATTAGATGCCCTAACAGTTCCAGAAAAATGTGTAGGACAAAGCCTGCATGCTATATTTCAAGATCCTAGGTTATTTAATAAGTTTAAAACATACAAACTTTCTAGAATAAGCATTGTTGTAAGGTTACAAGCCCTCTAGTGTCTCAGTTGGAATGAAACCCAGAATATCGTGATGCTTACACTCAGAATAAACTTACACAAACAGCTAACAATGTTTATGGGACCTAAAATAAAAAACATCTTTTTTTTTATTACTAGCTATAAAAAGTTTGAGGTAGTAGAAATGCTAGATTTAAAATGTTTCAGAATAGCTTTAGAAAGTAAGTCCTTGTAAGAAAACATTCTACACAATGTTCAAGAAAAGAGTGGTAGAAATATCGTAGTTGGAAGTTTTACATATCAATAAGATTAGTAGATGTGTATTAGTGTTCTGAAAAACACCATTAACCCTATCGAGGCAGGTAGGTCAGTGAGCATGTTTGTAGACTTGTATTCAAAATTTTATTGAACTACTAATTTATGAATGTATGTCAATAAACTTGGTATTAAATTGTAGATTATAATTCAAATTTTAGTGTTATGCATTAGTTAATTTCTTAATTTGAAAGTACATAAAAAAAAAAGCCAATTATTGATTTTTGTGTGTCACACTGGTTAGCATCATCTGGGTTTGGTAAGATAACATTTTATGACACTCACAATACAATACAATATAAACTCAAATTTCCAATATTAGCAAGCTAGAATATAAGATAAGTACCTCCTACCTTTTCTATTTGCTGAGATACCATGATATTTATTGAATCCACCATGTTGGCTCCACCCACCACTTCATCATTTGAGAAGACTTGTTTATCTACACCTGCTTTTCTGTACCTATAAGTTTATAACCAATAAAAAGCTCTACATTTCGTCTACATAATTCTGTTAGTCTTTCTAAGTTATTTACGACAGGAAAGCTCTTATATCGTTGGAGAGTTTGAAGTATTATGATCAATGCTTTTTCTCAAACAGAAATTTGATTTTCTTAGACCCAAATACAGCATAGTTAGAAAGCCTGGTAAATTACAATAGATTTTTGTGGTATCGGTATAGTCGTTTATAATTTTTTGGTATTCAAAGATGCATATATAGAGTCTGTAAAAGTAATTTCTACATCCACGTGTGAGTTTGGACAAGGCTTACGACAAGGGTTAGCAAGTACGACTCACGAGTGCAAAAAAAGAACTTCAAAACATTGAGGTTTTTTTTATTTTTCATTTGTTTTCTTTATTTATTATCATAAAAATAACTAAAATGTAAAATAAAATGTAAAAAATAAAAACTTAGATAAAGATTTTGTTGCCGAATAAACCTTTTTTATGTGCATTTTTACGTTTTGTATTTTAAGTGTAATTTGTCTAACTTTGTGGAGATCTACTGTATAATTATAGAATTGTTTTTACTGTGATTTTTAGTACTTAAGAATTCTACAGTTTGAATTGTAATTGAAATAATTAGCTAATTATAAGTTGTAATACAAGCAACCGACTTGTCTTTCCAGGAAATGCAGTTTTTGTATTTGAAACTACGAGAAGACTTAATAACAGCCCAGGTGGCCAAAGAACAAACGGAAGAATCCCTCAAAAGTGAAATTCTCTTCTTGCGAGATCAGCTCATGGGAGAACAGAATGCTAAAGAAACATTAGAGGACACACTTACGCAGGAAATTGACCATCTGCGAGAACAACTTGGTATTCGTAATTTGTAACTCATGAGCATTTGCAAAGATGTCTTTAGGGTTTACATTTATGAAACTTGTTACTCTGAAGGAAATGCCTGTGGCAGATAAAAGTTAGATAATTGTGTAACTTCTGAACACTGGGCGGATTGCTGAACGTGTTTAATCATATTTACTTTGTTGTTGTTTATAGATTTAGTAATTGTTTCTGTAATGGTTGCTTTTAAGTTGATTTTGAAGTCTACATAGTAGTTGGCTTATGTGTGTGAAAGTTAAATGGTTTTAGCTGTTTTTGTAGTTATGTTTTAATTTTCTTACCATATATACTTTGAATTACTCTTGTTTTGATTGTGTAAGAAATTAGTACCATTGGTTTGGTATAAATAAATTGTAGATTTTTTTAAAGTCGTTTCTACCATAATAAAATAATGCGTGTAATATTAGGTATCTTTGAGAGCATCAAGACTGAATTTGAGATTGAAAAATCTAAACGAACAGAAGTGGAACAAAAACTTAAACATTTCCAGTCCCACATGAACCAGGCTCATGGAGAAGGGCAGAAACACATCAATGAGCTAAAGAAAACGATAGAAGAATCTGGAGCCACTAATGTAAGAACTCTGGTCAACCTAGGTACAAAGCTAATAACTGCTTTACTTACAGCTTTAAATGTTAGCTTAAAATTTTAATTTACATGTTTTTCAAATTATTTGGTTAAGTTTGATAGTCAAGAGTTAAAAAAAAAACTTGGGGAAAAAATCAGTAATTTTTTATAGAAGTCTTAATGCTAAATATTAAAATGATATTAAACTCCTTTGAATTGTCAGTAAGGCATTTGTGTTTCTTAAATTGAAAACTATGGTTTTATTTATCAATTATTGTGCTAAACATAAATACAAAATTTTGATATTTAAGCATCCAGCCTTTTTTTAGAAAAAAAAAAAAACTTAACACTTATAAACATGTGATTACATGTAGTAGACAGGTGAGAAGAAGCAATATTAATTTAATGTCAACTTGAGTTTATTTTGTTTCCCCTATTCATTAGCATCTTAGAGATTTTAACTGACTATATGTACGATCTAGTACAATATAAATAAACTATGTAATAGATACTTCTTAATATGCTTAGGTTTTTCCTAACATAAGGGAAACTTGAAGCCTTCCATATTATTAGCATTGTTTAAAATTAATCACTGATGTATAAAACTATCTATAGTACCAGAGCTCACATGTTTGCCAAATGTGGAAAGCACTCCTAGCCTGACAGGTTTCTCATTCAGTGTTTTAACACTATGTTATAAGCTGTAGTCAGTAATCTTGCACTACAGAAGTTGAGTATCTTATATCTAAAAGATTTGGGAACTTCACCATGTCATTACAATCCATGTCACCACATCCAGTCATGCTGTATCTGCTTCAATATCACCTGTGTTAAATATGAAATGCCTCATTTTCATTACCATGTAAGTTAATACTTGTTGCAAGTCTCTTTCTGGATGGTCTTGGTACCCCAAGTTGATCCATATTCCTTTGTTTTCTAATACCATTAAATGCTAGGGATATTCCCATTATGGAAATTCTAAATTCCCAATCTAAACACATCTTTATGATCTGAGTGTATTATTATTTCATCCTAAAGGTTGTTGTGATCAGTATTTGGTGGCATCATACTACCTATGAAATGCCAAACAATGTTAAAATGTGGTTGTGATAAATGCCATTTCATTGTGACTACATATTGGCTGTGGTTATCACATGACTTGCTTATTGAAAATCATTTTATTATAATGTACTCAATCCTCATAGATATCTACAGTTTCTGATTTTAGATTTTTCAAGAAAACCTTTATTTGTTCTTTGAAACTTTTATCTGTGCTTTACTCTAATACAGATTGATTATCAGATCAATTCCTTCACTGATCAGTTAGTTCATAACAAGGAAACTGATTGGCATATCAACATTTTTTAAAGTTTAGAATTTTAAACTGGGAATTGTTTTGTAGCTTATGCTTGAAGAAGAAGTCCAGCAGCTGAAGTCCAAAGTCCAGAGCCTACAGACAGAATTAGATAATAGTGAAGCTGTTCAAAAAGACTTTGTAAAACTATCACAGTCCTTGCAGGTTGGGTAGAAATCTTCTTTTCACCTTAATATAAATAAGTATTTTGCTTAATTTGATAGTTCTATTTGTTGTTTCTCCTGTTTATGAAGAATGCTTTTTTCTTTGGAATATTTATGATGACCATAAATGAAAAATTTCAGTTATAAACTTTTTAACTAGAAAGTGTATTTTTAAACCAAAGTGTATCACTAACATTTATTTGTGACTTCAGTATTACTTGTACGGTCATTACAGTAGACGTGAACTGTTTGTTTTTCTTATATAAACTAGATGGAGCTAGAAAAGATCCGACAGTCGGACAATGAGGTGAGGTGGCAACACGAGGACGACATCAATGCTTGCAATTCATGTAAAAAACTACTTCACTCCAAAAAGGAAAAGGTACGTGTTGGATGAAAACCTATTTCGTAAAGTTTTTCAGATTCCTTTTACAGGATTCACTACGTGTTTTTTTATTTAAAAACAAAAAAAAAGTTTCCACTTCAATAGATCAATGCTGATAATAATGTAGAATAAAGCAATTGATTTGACAGTTAAAGGCAAGAATGAGTTTTTCCTTTTTCTCCTTTAGTTGTTTAAAAAAAATTGTGGGTTTATTTACCTTACACCTTTTGTGTCATTAGAAGTGCATCACTCCTATGTATATACATGGAGAGCTAAGAGAAAGTATCCAGGAAATATTTTTCACTAACAGTGTCTATACAGAGATGTGGTTATATGTATTTCTTGGACAAAAATGTTCAAATTTCGCTATAACAAGCCTCCTGTAGGTGTAATTGTTATTAATGACCCCATAAAAAATCTCAAAGTGTTACTTTGACACACTTTTTAAAGCTAGTCGTTAAGTACCTTTAACAATAAACAAATCCGAGTTAAATTAAAACACTTTGTTTTGTCACGGAAGATATTCCTTCTTTATGATGTTTGTAATTAGTTTCCATATGCCGTGTTAACAGTCTTTTAGATGTTAATGGCCGGTCTAAGGAAAATTAATTTTGAGGGAGTGATAAATGTACAAGAATAAAAAAATTTTTTAACATTGTTTAACGCAATAGGTCGTGATTTTTGTACATTTATAGAAATAAGTAAATCTATAGGCAGTATTAATAACTGTTACGTACTTGAATATTCCTGCTGAAAAAGCACGTGCTTAACAAGCATATGCTTAACAACTTTAACATTTTTATTTTAATGTCGCAGGCTTTATTTTTATTTGAATAATACTGGATTTTTTTCTTTAGAAATAAAAGCATTTCTCTTCACTTCATTATAAAAACATTTATGAGCTATGAATTTTGATTTTGCAAACTTACAGAAATGCCCAGAGTTTAACATGTGTGTTAACGAAGATGAGTTAAAAGATTGGTGTTTATAACGTTTTATGGTTTACTCTGGTGAACTTGCAATGTAGCTTATTGTTTATTATTGAAATATCGCAAGGTCAAGATATGCAATTTATTCAACACAAATATTAACTATCATTTGAACAAGTAATATTCTATATAGAAGTTGACTCTCAGTATGCTGATACCAGTGAGTCAAATGACTCCATTAGTCATGAATAAAATGGGAGGCCTCTGTATTAAAAGGAAAAAAGCTTGATTTTCCTAACTGTGTGTGTTTTTTTTATGTTTGCGGTAATGTTGTATTTAACCACCATGATTATTGTGCCCTCTTGGTGGCTCTCAGGTAAGTCAGCAGGCTTCCGATATCGTATTTCTATGCCCATGGTGAGCAGAGCACAGATAGCCCATTGTGTAATTTTCTGCTTAACAATAACCAAAACAATGATAATTGTAAAGATAGAAGCTTGTTGGTAAAAGTGAAGGAGATTGTGATACTGTTATTTGATTTAGTAAAACACTTCAAAGCACAGACTAATACCCTGTTTACATTTTTTGTAGTTCATTGTTTCTCAGTAGCTCTGTGAAGGCAACTTTTGATATATTTTTTAAAGAATTTATTATTTACTATTTCTGCACAAAAGTCTGTTATGTATTTCAAGTTGCAAACTGTGTTATGCAAAAAACAAACAAACTTGGCACAATGCTGTAAACTAAAAATGTATTTAAAATTTTCTCTCTCAATGTGATGCCCATACATAATCGTCAGTGCTAAACTTTACCAGGATCAGAAATCTTCGTGCCGGACCTGCTTCTTTGTTGGTGTTGGAAACACACACGGCCTGTGTGAAAATGGCCCAAAGTCTAAGAAAAGTGGTGGGAAAAAGACAATAACAGACTAGTCCCACATCTTCTCTCTGTCCCTTCATGACTGAGCATTATTTCAAAGAAAACACGGTCTCGAGTGAAAGTCGTAACATGGTGCGTTGCCAGCAGAACCACTGCAGACTGAAGAACAGAATTATGATTGAGTCACAGAAGTAAAGATATTCACCCCAGCAGCTCTTCCTGTAATGATGATATATCTATCAGTAGCAGCTCAGTATGAAGATCTGCTATAAAACCTCCATGTCGATTGACTGATGGAGAAACCTATTTGCTACGGCAATTCTGACACTGGCACATGTGGTTCTGGTGTTGCTATTCAGATATATCACATACACACAGATCTTCACATGGTTATTCTAATACACGACACAAATTCCAAGTTTTAGAACAACACTCGGCTATCAGACAGGCAGCCTTCAGCATGCTGGAAGCATTGATGACCAGAAAATGGTCAAGAATAATAAATTAATCATCACTCCTGCTCCTAACATGATGGACAGCTGTGCTATTTCACCCTCTTCCCATAAGAGTTCCTTTTGGATTTAAAGTCCCATCACACCCATCTTTAAGACTCTGAACACAGGTAGAATATTGGATGATGTATTTCTCATTACAAAATCATCATCCTCAAGTAAAATTAACAATCTAAGATCAACAGCTCTCTCAATTCTGTTAACTTCAATTAAAAGGATTCCTCCTGTACATCATCACTAAGGTTGAAGTTGTTCTTCCAAGACGATAACGAATCCGCTTCTAGTTTTGTGAGGAAAAATTTAAATGCTGGTTTTCCAACTACCTCACCAGTAAACTGTCGTACTCCAGAAAAAAAGAAGATTTCATATTATCCGAATCCTTTTCTTCTGAGCACTCTTTGGTTGGCTGATACTAATCTTCACTGAGTGACTGTCAAGATATTCTGGACACGTACCTAGTTTTTAACCATCTTTGACTAATAGTAATGCCATCGTGATGAACGTAGTGATTCTTCTAGTTTTCTGCAATATTCTGTTTGAGCAAAGCTGGGAAGGAAAATTACACGTTTGCAGAAATACTCCCAGAAACCGAATGGTATGTTTCTACATTAAAAATTTATCAGTAGCCCTATTTTCTCCAAGTCCGTTACCTCAAAGCAGATATCTTGAGAGCTTTGATCTGTATCTGTTGACTTAGACACAGCTTCTTGATCAATGGACCATCTTAAAGGCTTCCTTCCACACTTTTATATATTTTAACGTAGCAAACATAGATGAAGAAATGTGCTGGCGAGTGAAATGTGTCTGATTCTGTTTTACATTAGGTAAGTGGAGCATCATATGGAATCTCAATCAGATTTCTTCATAAAATGAAACTGTTTTTCTTTCAAACTTGAATGTTGATCTTATTATCCTGAAACTTAATGAAGTTTCAATACATTTAGAAGTATGCGATGATATATTTTGATTGTTTGGATTCCAATACCTGTTGTTGTTTTCTTCAGCTCTGTTCATACGGACTTCACGGTTGTGTCAACGTTTTTTAGAAGTTGAAATTGTTCAATGTCAAATAGAGCTTGTGTCATTTTTAAGTCCACATATTGTGTGTACGTCTGTGATATAAACAAGAACTATTTCATGTATTTACTCTTCTTTTACAAAGTGTAACAATAACATACTACTGATATTATGACACCATTAATAGATTTAGAAATTCTAAATAATTAATACTGGTTTCAGCATCCAACAAAGTTTTCCAATGCCATAATAGTTAGGCTTAATACCTAATGATCTAAAGGCTACCAATGCCATAATAGTTAGGCTTAATACCTAATGGTCTTAAGGCTACCAATGCAATAATAGTTAGGCTTAATACCTGATGGTCTTAAGGCTACCAATGCCATAATAGTTAGGCTTAATACCTGATGGTTTTAAGGCTACCAATGCCATAATAGTTATGCTTAATACCTAATGATCTAAAGGCTACCAATGCCATAATAGTTAGGCTTAATACCTGATGGTCTTAAGGCTACCAATGCCATAATAGTTAGGCTTAATACCTAATGATCTAAAGGCTAAAATTAAGACTTGTAAGTGTGATGCTTCTCATACTTGGTCAAAGATTGCATCAGGTATCATACTCTAGTTGTTTATATATTCCTATAATTTCATTAGCAAGCTTCCAATTCATAGTTTTTTTTTTCACCTAACAAAAAGAGAATTAATTCATTGTGTAATAAATTTCTACAGAACATTCAATTATATATATTTTGGCTTGACTTGGCACTGTTGAAATTATGTTTCTGTGTAGACATAAGCTTTATTTTTGACAGTGTTTAAAATTTCGTTGTTTTAATTACAATAGTGTATAGATCATTGTACAGTTTTTATTTCGTTTTCTGTATTCATTTCATCCACAGCATCACTGTAATCACTGTGGAAAGATTTTTTGTGCTGAATGCAACTCCAAAATAGTGTACAGTGGACCCAAACAACGGCCATTTAAAGTGTGCAGCGTATGCCACACGTTACTGGATCACGAGACGGCCCCATATTTTAGTAGCAGACTACCACAAACACCTAGTTAAAATCCTGTAGTCTTCAAACTGCGTCATCTCACACCGAAAATCACAAGTATGGGAAAATCTTGAAAATGTCTTTTTGGAAGAGAACTGTCTGGAAAATGTAATGTATGGGAAAATTGAAGGTAATGTTCAAATGGAGACATATCATTGTAGAAGGTTTAGATAATTCCTTTTGAGGATTTAAAAGAGATCCCCTCTCCGTTCCCCTTTAAACCATTAGAAGTGAAAATAATGCTGATTTTGTTATTTTATAGTGTGAAAGAATGACACACTGTGTGACGTTACTTTTAAACAAAAACAATTCACTTTTTCTCGAGAAGCAAGTTTTCTCTGCCATCTGTTCTGTGCAATGGGAAGTGTGCATTGAATGTTCTAGTGTGAAGATGTCTGCAGGACAGACTACTGAATTATCGTCTGCCAGACAGAGTGTATAGATAATATCTGTTTGATGGAACACTAAAGTCAATAGTTTTGTGCAAGAATATAAAAGTTTGATTGGTAGCTGTTATATAGCGGGAGTTGTGCTTTGTTTTAAAAAATAAAAGAAAGGCTATGTCCAGCAAGAAGAAAAGGTTTCCAGAAACAGACAAGAACAAATCCAATTTGAGCAGCTCTCTGGCAAATTAACTAAAACAGTGGTCTCGTTTGAACGTTGTGAGCTCTTTAATAGCAATTTCATGCTATACATTGTAGCTAGAAACCATTGAACCTGTACTGTTTGTGATACAGTATGTTTACACTTAGATTAAGTCTTTGAAAAGAAAAAAAAAAAGTTTCTTACGCTAAGAACGTGATTACAACTTATTAAAACTTTTTTGTTTTCCACAATATTAACCAGGAATTGATTTGTCTCACAAATAGATATACAGTGGTGTGGTTGGTTATATTACAGCATTACTTGTGACTACAGTATTAGCAGTAATGGTTTGTGTTTTAACTGTTTTGTTCTAAACTTGTATAATATTTCCACTAATAGTGCTTCAGTCAAATAGTCTCGGTTGGCATAGACCTGATAAAACACTAATTATAATTTCCTAAAGATCTTCCGGAACCCAACTGTAAGAATCACACATTTTATCTACATGTTTATATAATCTTGTTCAGGATAAAAATATCTTAGTAATTAGAACCCTTTTTTTTTAATATTATGCAAAAAATTTTTCACTTTTTTTTTTTCCTTTGGAGTCTTTCTACCGGACATTTGCTGGTTGTAATTGTATTATATGCTCTCTTTTGAAGTAACCTTAATATGGTCATTAATTTATGAATGTCACTAGTCACCAAATTAGCTAATAACTTTAAACTATATATTTATCAGTTGGTGTCAAGCTTCCTGATATAATGGATACTCATTGTATAAAAGTTACCAGCACAAAATTGAAGGCCATTTTTTGTAACTCTTCAAAGTTCTTAGTTTTTATCACCAACCTCTGTCACTAACAGCTACATGAAATTAACCTTTCGACGGTCACCATTGGCATACAGTATTTGAAGATTACTCAGTTGCTTAAGCTATATCAAAGTGACTTTTCATTAAACCTACTGTTAGTAACTACTTAAAGGTCAGAAAAAATGAATTGTAACTATTTGATGAAGGTGGTCTTTGGAAAACCTATTAATTAGCCATAAGATTGAGTTGTTCTTTTCAGGGCAATTTAATGTCTTTATTGAAGCGAATTTTCATCATTAAATTGAATAGTAAACCTTTATGTAGTGGTCTTTTTTTTTTTCTTTTCAAAATTAAATCATTGGCTCTAATAACACTGTACAGTTTTAAATAGCGGAACATTTTAGTTCTGTGTGAAAACTGTGTTTACTGAAGTACATCATGGGGAGGTAAATATTTTAAAATACGTGGGATGCCCATTTTTCGTGTGGTGCACACAGTTTTGACTAAATCCAGCTACCGTGTCCATCTAAAGTTACACATTTTTCCAAGTGTACACTGGAAGCGTGGGTACAAAATAGTGGTAATCACACACACACACACACACCAGTCATTTCTCATAGTTATCTTGTGGAAGATAATTCCACCATCTAATAACTTGAAAACTCTTATTTTCTGATTGCATCATTGCCATCTTGGAAACACACACCCCCCGAACGGATGAACTGGTTACTTTGTAGAGTCACGTCACTTCCTTAGGAAATGTGTGATCATGAGAGGAAGTACTAGTCTTATGTGAATCAAAGTTATATATATTGTATTCAAACACTCGGCCCAACACGAGGCATTTGTTTGTAAAATTATCTTTAACCTTGCTTGAAACGATTTATTGCTTGTATCGTGTTTTAGCTAAAAAACAAATATTTGTCTTGACCAGTTTTTGAACTGAAATAGTTGTGCTACACATTTCCTTTTGGAACATCCTGAAATGGGAAAACTCAATTCCAACATCATGGCACCTAACGTACTTAACCCTAGAATTACCAGTAGTGTCGACATGGATCTCATCAGCTTTTGAAACTCATTTTTCTAAACTATTTAGGCATGAAATTGATTGTGGACTTTGCTGGTTACAGAGCCCCCAATAACATACGAGTCACAAAAAATAGAGGGAGACAATAACTGTTGTAATTAATTCCACTAGTTACTGCTAGGAGATCCTATACATTTTACATAGAAGAATCACTTATCCCGAATTTTTTTAATCAGTTCTTTACACTTGAGTGTTGTGAGAGACAAAAACAAAGTTACTGAACATGATGCAACGTGAGGACCTCGTGAGCAGTGAACAGTATATGAAGAAGTCGGTAATTTGGTTAAAATTTGATTCCGTAGTATATACGAGTCAGGAAGTGGCACTGTACTTTGATGCCATATTTCTATATTCTCTGTTAATGGGTGAACAAAATACATTAAGATAAAAAAAAATAGGAATTGTATCTGATACTGTGCTAATTTTTCTTATACAGTTTGGTTTGACAGGCTTGAATACTTCTGCACTGTGATAGATTTTAATACGCTGTTACTGGCATTACTAAACCTTGAATGAGGAAAATTGTTCTCATATTAATGCTCTTTGTAACTTTTTTTTGGGGTTTTATGTATATCGTACATGTGCCATTATAAGAACAAGCTACTTACATAAAAAAAATCCACTGTTTTAGTCAGATTTATTGATATTAAAAGAATGCTCAATGTGTGTGTTGAAATGTCAGTCTATTGCATTTGAAGAAGGAAAGTTATAGATTTTATGAGTTTTCTAAAAATAATGGTGGACAGTTGCTCTTTCCTTGAAATGTTTAATTTGTTCAAGACTCGTACAATGAAGCTCTCGTGTTTTTCAAACACAATATAAAACAATGTGGTGTATTTGCCATTAAGAAAAATTGCACGCAGGATTTCTGCATGTGACGAAGTTCTGACAGTTTTCACTTATTTTGATAGCTACTGTAAAATTTTCTTTTCTTTGTTATGTGTAAAGAAAGTTTACAGATCAAACTTCAATGTCTTTGTTACAGGTTTACACAAGATTGTGCATAGAAAAGTGTAAGAAACTTTTATTTCCAAGTTTCATCTTTGCTTACAAAAAAGGTATCAATATTAAAGTTCTTTCAGTGTTCTTATGTTTCATTCACGGTCTCCAGTAATAGGTTGGTCTATAAGCATGTACTTTATAATACGTCATCAGACTCGAAGCTTTTTACAATCTCAGGCTGCTTAAAATCTACACTAGTTCTCCAATTTTTATCTTTCTCTCCCTCTCTCTGAGTATTTTTCTTCATTCCATGTGTTTGTGAATTATGTTTTACCTGTCTATTCTAGTTCTTTGTTTCACTTTGTTCTGAGAGCTTTGTACTAAGATGTAATTTATATGAGTTCCAGACATTTTCCTTTCTCTTGTTCCTAGTTCTACAGTCATCATTATTCAGTTCTTTTTTTTCTTTTTTTCTTGAAATATACTACGCTATGTGAACTTTTTGTACTCAGCATTGTAAAGTCTAATTTACTCCAAATTTCACTCTACCAGTAGTTACATTAAAGTTCATTCATCAAAATCAGATTTTTCAGTTGCTCTTTTCAAACTTTCAATTAAGAATACTTTAGTGTCATAAATAACAAAAATGTACCTCTCTAGAAGAAACAAAAATATATCAACTTTCGTTTTTTTAAAATGTTTAACATAAGAATTGTTTTCATTCTTTTTTTTTTCTAAATTCTAATGAATACTAATATTTTTGTGCTTTTCCAAGCAAAATATAGAAATTACAAATTTTTGTGTGTTTGGGAGATCATTCAATACAAAATATTTAAAATATAGACAATGCTGGTAAGTATTAAAAAAATAAACTTGGAGATCACTTTCATGTGGCTACACTCGTTTTAATATACGTTTAAGTTGTGATTTTCCAATCTTCTATAAATAATTAACCATTTCTGACTTAATTAAACTTATGGTTTTAGAAATTTCTACAAAAGGATATGATCACTAGATTTACCGAACAAAACCTTGTCGAAACGTTGTACATTTGCTGTTATATTAAACTTATATTAAAGTTTTTCTTCATTACCCATTCAAGCCATCTCCAACCATTATTAATCTCAAAGTGGGTTCCTCGTCATCGAATTTGTATTAGTACTTTGCAAGTAACCTTAAGAAGTTTCAAGTCTGTTTTAGATTCAAAATTTTGTTCTAACCCTAGTATGGTCTACTGACAAAATACATTAGAAAAAAAACAAAATAGTGAAAGGAGGCAAGGAGTGACATAATACTAAGCATTAAAATTAGGTGTGTTCTAAACCAATAAATCTGATATATATAATCAGAATGCTTTGTTAGTTTTTACATTCAAATGACAGCTTTATATAAGTTCATTTAATGAATATATAAATATATATATGCCCCCTGTGGCTCTGTAATAAGTTTACAGTGTTAAACGTTATGTTTTGATACCTGTTGAATGCAGAGCACAAGTGGCCCATTGTGTATCATAACAACAGCCAGCTGAATATATGTCAACAGTATTTCAGATAAACTTGTGTCTCTCTCTCATCTTCCAACCCATCCGTTTTATTCTGATTGAATGAAGGGTGCACACACTTTTAATTTGTAATCTACAATGGAAATATTAAAAGTAAAAAAAGTATAACGTGTTTCATCGGGTTTGAAACCATAACTTACTTGTATCATACTTTTAACCCATTGACTACTGATTTGTCGTGTAGGGTACAGTCTGCATTCGGTAGTTGAAACCATAACTTACATGTATCATACTTTTAACCCATTGACTACTGATTTGTCGTGTAGGGTACAGTCCGCATTCGGTAGTTGAATCCAAGTGTACTGTATACAGTGTACAGCTCGCAAAAATTCTGCATGTGTTTAAAGCAGCCACAGTTAAAGGGTTAAACAAGATTTACTGTTACTACTTACAGTATTTTTGTTATTCTTTAGGCACGGCACCGAGAATAAATATATGTTAACGATATCCAATGGATATTACCAGGCAGTAGGGCTACAGATCTGGACGTTTTGTAGTTTGTCACCGAATTATCTATTTCTTTTTATACTGACATACTTTTGCTTGAAAAATTGTATTTTTTTTTTTAAATGTATCTATACAGTACTTTTTCACCCATTCCCTGTTTCTTCTCATTTTTATTTAAAGAATAATGAGTAGCTTATGCAAAATAATAATAACTTTGTTGAAATTGTTTGAATATGTATATATATAGATATTTTTGTCATGTTATTAAACAGGAACTGTAGATTAAGATTCCAAATAATAATATTATCACGTAGTATTAGCTTAAACAACAATTAAAGTACTTAAAAATATAACAAAGTGTATCAATATTTGTATTACAGATAGTATTGTTATCTTATTATGCTTTATTAACTTATTGAATAGAAATGCCGTGAACTTCCTTTTTCTTTAAGAAATGTTTTCTGTATAGAAGTGGGAGCTTGTTAATTTTTTATATTTGTTTCTGCAACTTAATGCCTGTGTTAACTTCATACAATTGAGGCAAGATTATTTGATACAAGTTTTAATGCCTTACTTTTTCTTTACATCTTTCACTGTATGCATTTTTTTTTTTCACTTTCCATGTATATTTTTATTCAAAAAATTATAACCTATTGAATGGAATGTTTCTAATGGAGACTGGTTTGGCACCTGCTAAAAGATGCAGAAAAGATTTGTTAACGAGTTAAATATCGTACTGCATAACATTGCCAATCTGAGGAGTCACGTGGGTTTTGTATTTATTAACATGAATAATACACTGTCAGTTTGCATAGAAAGAGATCTAATTTTAGTGGGACAAAAGCTGGTTGAATAGCCGATTATGTGAATGTACAAGTAATTTGTAAGTGTTTGTTATTGCTATGCTCCTACCCCAATGGAAAAGTTTTTTTTTTTCTAAAGTTATCTCAACGTATGTTAAACCTAAACAAGTCTGTAAATTATGTAATTTGGTTATTTTTTGTGCTATAAAATACACATTTGTATAGTATTATAAAGCAGAATTTGCAATAAAAGTTTGATTCCAGTAAAAGCCTTAGAATTCAATAGATTATGTGTTTTGATTATGAATACAGATTTTATCCAACCCTATGAACACTGAGTCGTCTTACACGAATCAACTTTTTTTTTTAGAAGAAAAGCTGACGATTAATGATATGATACAACATTCAACTGCAGATACAGTTATTAAATAAAAATATATAAATCACAAGTTTTCTTGAAAAACAGTTATG